GTTTGGGCAACGAAGCCCGTCGTTCCAGGGGCCAGGTTCCAGGTTCCATTGCTGGATTTGCAGCGAAAGTTATTTTGTTACTGTAGTATCATCCACTAGCTTGCGGCGATGGAATCTAACGTTCTATATTCCGGTCTCCTCAGGCCTCACGTCTACGTTTTCTGGAATAAACGTAACGCTCTATGCTCAAGTAGACTGAGGCGCGCTTCTGATCAGGGCAATCTGATTTGCTCGCCTCTCTTCTAGTATGACTTCCCTTTCCAAGGACAATATTGACCATGTCTTGTTTGCTTGTGGGTCCTTGTGAGGTCAGGTATTGAGGGTATCGAGCATTGGGACGCATGACTTGGGGACCGGTGCTGGAGGAGAGGCTCAGAGTTTCAAGTTGCTTGATTCGACCCGAGGCTTAACACCTGGCCAGGCAAGGTTACAAGATGAACGGCGAAGCTGTATCTCAAGAAGGGGAACCCCGAACCCAATGGGTCCAATGGGTGACACATCCATCCTGTATAGGGTTTTTGGGGTTCGCCCTTGGCCTTCCCCTTTCTTTGAGACGCAGTGGAACCATGGGGAACCTCGGGGTGGCCCCCTGGATGACACATCCACCCGCACAAGGCCAGGCTGTTGAACCTAGTTCAGAGCCCGTAGCCCCGTATCCAGAATTGAGCACGGAACCTTCCAAAAGTTGACCGGGCCTGTTGCTTGGCACCGCCCGTTTCACCTGCAACCTGTTGCAGTCCAAGGTATATATGCATATGTATATTATGTATATGTAAACATGCAGACGCATACAAATATACAGTAATGCATGCTCACTTCTGCTCGGATCGCCGTCGACGATGCGATACCCGGCTTGTTTCCTGCAACCTTTACAGCACAGAACCCGGCTTCGGCGGCGCGGGCCGCGAGACACAGCGATGGAAGAGGTGGACGGCGACGCCCACACCATGCCCCGGCCTCAGCTAGGATGCCAAGCTTTTTCAGGACAAGGCAGCCGACTCAGAACTGTCAGAGGGTGAACGACTGAAGCTGAAACAGCTCGTGTTGATCAACGGTGCACACCGCACGATGGCCGCTCACATCCAGACCTTTGAGAGGTTTGAGAAGTGGGCTAGTGCCATTCAGCTGGAGTTGTACCCCCTCAATGTGGACAAGATTCTGAAGTATGGTGTTTTTCTTGACGATCGTGAATGTGGTCCCTCAGTGTTACCGAACTTTCGGGCGGGCGTTCGCTGGGTGTGCAACCGGTTGGCCATTGACCCCCCTAACTTTGAGGACGCTCGATTTGTGGCCCTTCAAAACAAGGTCATTGCCGACCGTGCAAAAACACTCAAAGAGGCGATTCCCATCCCGATTTCGATCATCGTGGAGCTCGAAGGATTCGTTGTGGACCCCGGGAAACCGATCGGAGCGAGGATCTTTTTGTGGTGGATACTCTGCATGGTCTTCGCTTCCCTTAGGTTCGATGACGCCATCCATGTCCGCCCAGGAGAGCTGATCATGCGAGACGAAGGCCTGTTCGGGGTCGCCTGGCAGACCAAGGTCGATCGGAAGCTGATGGGAACCCGCTTCGTGGTTCCGAAGATCGGTTTTTCTGACTCGACATGGCTGGAGGAGGGGTGGGAGTTGTTCAATCGGACGCAGGATCTCGATCGAGATTTCTGGGTCCCCGAACTCAACACCCAGGAGGAGTTTCTTCCAAACCCCCCATCGTTCGCACGCTCGCTACAGTGGTTGAAAGTGTTGTGTCGGCGCATCTCTGATGAGAGCACAAAGTTGAGCAGATCGCAGCAGACTCAGAATGCGATCGCGATCAACAAGCTGACCATGCACTCATGCAGGGTGACCTTGTTAGACGCAGCGGTCCACTCGGGCCGATCGGCCGAGGAAATTGGCCTGCAGGCGACTTGGAAGAACCCGGGCCCTTTGGTCCTCAAGTACACCCGAAATCGATCGGCTATTCCTGCGCTCATGGTCAAACAGCTCGTGAGAGATCTTGCGCAAGAGGAGCACCCAGCGGTTGAAGACGTCGACGCGATCTTGATCGATTCAAATGATCAGGATCTCTCGTCGTTCGAATTCTTCATCAAGAAAGCCAGTCCCGGCAGCTTACTATGAGTACAAGTACCATTGCACCTCCAGCTCGGACAACACACTCACTGCCTGTAACAAGTTCAACTTGCGTGTGGAGCCAAGGAGAAGTCCTGATTGGTCATTCTGCTGATCGCAGAAACGAACTCTCGAGCGTTCTTCAAGGACTCCTACAGGAAGGAGAAATTTCCAATAAACAAGCAGAATCGTTGAGAGGAAGAATGCACTGGTTTGAAAGCTTTGCCTTTGGTCGGGTCGCCAACCAGGCTGTCAAAATCCTCGGAGAAATCGCGCTTCGTAACAGTAAGAACTGCAAACTCAACCCCAGAGACATAAAGGCCATTCGATTCCCCCATGACAGAGTTCTTCACGCGCCCCCTCTGAAAATCACTCCAACAAGTTTGCTTTCGTTTGTTCTTTTTACGGATGGAGCGTGCGAAGGAATACAAACCAAGGTTGGGAGTGTTGGAGGTGTCTTGGTAGACTCCTGTGGGAGGTTCAGAGCTTTCTTTGGAGCCAAGGTCCCAGACAGAATCATGCGCGAGTTCAACCGTATGTCGGAAAATCCCATATATGAACTCGAGTTGTTGCCAGTTTGGATCTCCTTCCTTCTTTAGGCTCCATATTTGAACAACTGCCAACTGGTAAGTTACCTAGATAATGATGCTGCTCGCTCAAGTCTTTTGAGAGGAGTCGGTGCAACGGCTGCTGCAGAGCAGATCGTTGATCTCGCGACAGGTCTCGAAATGGACTTACAATCGAGACTCTGCTACGCGCGTGTGCCAACAGCTTCAAACATAGCTGATGAGCCGAGTAGGCTAGTGTTTGATACTATGCGAGCTGTGGGAGCAGAGTTCTTTGACGTTCCTTGGGGCAAGGTCGACAAAGCCCTACAGAGAGTTCAGCCTGAAGAGCGGGGTTGACTGCGGGGCGTGAACTGCATGTACCTTCCCCCTTGCTCCGTGTCCAAAAAGAGCGCGAGTGATCCGTTCATTGCGCTTGCTTTTGTGATTGTGCAGACATGCCGCTTTCATGAAACCGGTACTCAGAGGCAAGAATTAAAAAACAAATCATTTTGCCAAATTGATTTTCTAGTCTAGTCTAAAATTGGCATCGGTCATGTTTAAACGCAAAATCCTTTTGCCAAATTAATCTTCTCGTGAAATATTGGCACTGGCCATGTTGAAAGCCAAAAATCATTTTCCCAAATTGCAGGTGCTTGAAACCTTTGGCAGGCCCAGGTTGCTTGTCCAGTGAGCAAAACTCAATGGCAAACGGCCTCGTTCGTGGCAAATCCAAGGGTGAGCTCCACCCGAGAAACGAATCGATTGGAAAATATTAGATCTAGGACCTAGTAATATTGAAAGAGGTTATTGTTATTGTTTTGATTATTTCGGGATAAAGTTGGGACCGGCCATGTTTAAATGCAAAGATCATTTCTTAACATGATTTTCTGGTCTAAAATTGGCATCGGCCATGTTTAAAGGCAAACATCATTTTCACAATCCGTGATAGAGATGCAGCAAAATGAAATGTACATTGAATTCCTGGTAGGTGGAGTCCCTGATGCTACAGTGCAGATTTCGTGGAGCGGCGGGGGCTGGGGGGGGGGGGCAGCCCCCCCCCTCAGCCAAAAAAAGGGCGAGTAGCTTGCCATACCAGGCTAACATCAAACAAGCAGATGAACCGCATGCTATGGTTGAAAGGGTTCTCCCTCTTTTAATTTTTACCCTCGGATTGCTCACAACAGGTATGCAAGCTACCAGTCCTTCTTAAAAACCCCGTCCGTGGTAGATAAGTTTCACCCTTGGTATTTTTCACCCTTGGTTTAATTCAAAATACATGATGGAGCGGCTTTACTTGAGAATTGAAATGACCGGTCGAGTCGGGAGAAATGATATGACGGACCGGGTTTAATTCAAAAATGAGATGACGAGCCAGCCTCAACAAAGAAATGAAATGATGGACCGGGCCGGTCTTAACTAAGAAATGAAATGACGGGCCGGGTTGAATTGAGACATGAAATGACGGACCAGGTTTAATTGACAAATGCAATGGTGGCGCGGCTTTAACTAAGAAATGAAATGACGGACCGGGCCGGGCTTAACCAAGAAATGAAATGACGGGCAGGGTTGAATTGAGAAATGAAATGACAGACCGCGTTTAATTGACAAGTGCAATGGTGGAACGGCTTCAACTAAGAAATGACATGACGGACCGGGTTTAATTGAGAAATGCGATGACAGAATAATGACAAAAAACAATAATAACGGTGACCATTATTTCGGGTGAACTTATTGCTATTATTATATACGATTTTTCTTGCGAAATGCTGAGTGAGTGTTTTCTCGTTCCCGGCGAAAATAAAGCTATAATATAATTAGTATAATACTAGTAAAAAATCATTGTTGCAATTGTTTCGAGTGAAATTGATGTTTATTATTGTTTGTTTTGCAACGATTATTTTCTCGTTCCCGGCGACGTAATAATAATAATATCTATTTCTGTTATTTCAGATCAAAAATATAAACATGGATTGCCCCTCCCCCCCGGGGACCCTGCGCAAACGTGATAATTATTAAAGCATATATTATATTGTTATTTTCATTATTTCGGACCCAAAATAACAAGAATGGATTACTCCGCACGCCGCGGTGCCTACGTGAACGTAATTATCAGTATTGAGATTGTTATTGTTATTTCACTCAACAATATATTAACAATCTCAACTTCGCCCCCGCTCCCTTCCGCCCCGCAGATCCCAAGATAATAACCCCCCCCGTCCCTTTAAACAATCCTTCGGGTGCACCCTCCATGATGCATGAAAAAAACTATTTGTGTACTGATTCTCAGTCATCATCATTCTTGGTTCGGCTTGGGCGTTGATTAATGATTCCTCTCATTTTGAGGTCATGACGAAATAACGCGTGGCAGCTCAGTGGGATGTACTGAGAGTTTCTTGGAGGTTTTTATTGAGGTAACACATGTCCTTTTTGCTACGCAAGAAGATCAGAGCGTGAAGTGTAAGTGTGTCCCTGTACACACATGCATTCGCAAGATTCAGTCAACATTTCTTTGGTTTTTCTGACTACCCGTGAGCATTCTTGGAGTCTTAGTCATGAAGCAATGTCCAGTTGCTAAAAGAGGTGTGCAGAAACACCAGTTTGTCCTGGCTACTGCAGTAGCTATGTTTTTCTGCCAGCCGTCTCATGCACCTCTGGTGGAGGCAGCCCAGGGCTATCCATGGCTACAACGATGGCCCGGTAGGAGACATGCTGGAAGTCTTGTCAACTTCTGTAGTGGCGTGCACAGATGGTTGCAATATGTTACGCTGGTAGGTATGGCCAGGTCATCCACTCATGACATGAACATGTGTGTGTGTGTGCTTTCTCTTTTTGGTGTGGAAGTTCCTCCCTTTGCCTTTGCATCAACTTGCTCATATTTTGTTGTTGCAGCTACTGCAAGAAGCCCTTGAAGTCATGTGTTTTTGCGTTCTTCCAGTGTTTCCCCCTTTGGTGGACCAAGCGAGGCTAAAACGCAGAGCTCAAATTTGGGACAAACTATTGAACACGTTTGTGGGCTGGGCCTCAAGTTACTTAAGCAGTGTTGGTGTTACTGTAGCGCTGGTCTCACTAGCCCAAGTATGCATACTTGGCTTTCCGAGGATTTCGAGATCGTCATGATGCAGACACCTACATTCTCACCTCATCATCAGTATCATTCATCCTCATCAACATCATCATGATGGTCATCGTCGTCGTCAGACATCACAATATCAACATTACGCACATCACATCACCGCATGTCACATCATCAAACACCACATCATCACAGCACTTGTTATTGATTTCTTTGGGGCCTCGAGTCTTCTTATCCTCTTACTGCTGAGGTTCGGGTCACACTGTTCTCACTCTTTTCAAAGGAATATGTTCGCAGGGCCCGTGTGATCATGGGAGAGGTGCTGTGCCCTTCCCCCAACTCCCTCCGGTGCCACGAAATCTGCATCCGGTATCCCTAGCTCTGTTGTTTTCTATCTTTATCAGTCTGTAGTTTTGTGGGTAACTTTGGTTTTCTTTGTGTCCTATGGGTTTCAGGGTGACAGTGACCTGGCAAATCCCCACTGCAGGGTCAAATTGCAAGAGACCCCACACAGCAAGTTGTGGGCCCTGTGAGGATCAAATTTAAAGCTAGCATGAACTATTCCAACCATACACATCCATTTGTTGGCCAACCAGAGGAACACATTAGAGCAGGAACAAACCGCCGACCCCAGCGATTTTTTTCAAGCAAGCCTTACACATCCTGCTTTGGGCCACTCCAGGGTAACCTTCAAGGCAGTAGGAAGTTATTCCAACCTCACGCACTCTTTGGTGGGCCAAGCGCGGGTTTAATTTCGAGCAGGATGGACACCATTCCAACCTGATGCACCTTTATGTGCACTCTAAATACCAGCAGTTCAGGATGTTGATATGATTTCCTAAAACATGATGTTGATCCTATTAATTTTATAATATATACATATGTAAATACGCCCCCGTGTTTAAAGACGTAGGGGAGTCAAGGGAAAGTTTTCACCGCAGCACTGGCTCAGCGTATGTGGGGCCACCCGCGTGGCTGCGCGTGCACGCTCTGCACTTCAATAGAGCGCTTGCACCGCGTGGTCAGCCTGGCCCGAGCCACCCCGGAGTTTGTCTCCTACGCGACAGTCCGGGTGAGAAACGTGATAGGTGAGCTCAGCGACTACCTGGAAGCTCACCCCGGGGAACGGGAGGACCTGGCACGTCCTCCTCCCCAAGTTGGAGGCCGAGAAGGAGGACGAGAAGAACAAGGTCTGGGCCAGGCAGGAGAAGAGCAGGCTAAGAAGAAGCAGGCAGAAGAAAAGGAGGAGCACGCAGGTGAGAAGGCAACCGAGGCAGAGAAATCCATTCCAGGCAGTGCGGGAGATCTTCATCCAGGAAGAGTGGCAGTCAAGAGAGAAGAGGACGAGGAGGACTCGACCGACAAACCCGAAAAGGGCTCGACTGCTGTGAGCAAGGCTAGTCACCAGGAGGTCAACGAGGCACCACATCGACCAGACGAGGTTGAAGCGGCAGCCGAACCAGAGGCGAGTGGCGAGTGCGACGACGAGCCCAAGGGGAGCCTCGGTGTAAGGGAGGTAGTGCCAGAATCTCCTCACCGAAGGCGAAGAAGAAGGAGGAGGAGTGAAGCGAGTCGTACAAGGTCTCCAAAAGAAAGAAGAAGAGGTGAAAGTTCCCATCGACGTCGGAGGAGAGCACACAGCAAGTCTGAGAGGCAGACGACCAAGATCTCCCTCACAACCCCCTCCTGGGTTCACTGGTCAAACCATCTTGGTGCCTGCTCGACCTGTTTACCGAGGTCCTCCAGACAGCCCTGAGTATCGGCCCTACGAAGGAGCAAAGAACAACGGGAAAAAGAAGGTTGAGACTCAGCGATACTTCAAGGACTACGTTGCGGAGCGGCGGGCTGAGAAGCGACAGGCCCGTGAGGACAGAGAGAGGTATCGCTAGAGGAAAGGTGAATGCCTCCTAGACCGCGACGACGGCCTGCGGCTGAAGGGAGGCATCGAGGTGATCGAGATCGAGGAGAAGCTGACAGGGAGGCTGGTCGTGAAGGAGCTTTGAGAAGGCGGCCGGCAGCTGCAGAGGAGCGAGTGACGGGGTTCGAGGCTGGAGAAGAAGTTGCTGCACATCAAATCCCAGTGGGAGTATGGAAGCCAGGGCTCCGACTCCTGGGAATGGGCGCGTACTACAACCGCGAGATCAGCGTAGCCGTGGAGGTCGATGCCCTGAGGTTTCAAGGAGGAGCACTCGAAGTTATGACCTGGGTGACCGGCGCCGAGGACGAGGGCCTTCTGAGATGGGCGACGGGCAATGCAGGGACGCCTTTGAGATGTCATGTATGCCTGGAGGGCTGTGGCAACATCCCGGAGGGGGACGACGTCCTCCATCTCAAGAAGGTGAAGTATCGTGGTGTGGACAGCCCAGGTTGGGTCGACAACCTCAAGGAGCCGACTGGGATGGAGGAGCTGCGGCGCTTGGCAGCGAGGTCAGACGCCCTGGCCCGAGGAGTGGAGGAAGTGAAAGACCCAGGGAAGGAGATGAAGGAGGCTCCGATTCCAGCAGGGCAAGACACAAAGAGTTCCAGCAGATCCAGTGGAGGTCGCAAGAAGAAGAAGAAGAAATCGTTCAAGCCAATGGGAAAAAAGGATTACTCAGCATTGTACAAAGGGACGGGCCTCGACCAGGACGCCCGCATCAGGAAGAAGGTCTCCCGGTTGGCGAGACGCGCAATGAAGAAGAAGTCGAAAAGCTCAAGCTCTTCCGGGACAAGCTCAACGTCGGAGGCGGCAGAAGGCCTGGAAGATCTCTTTCAAGAAAGCCAGAGGACTCAGTTGGCATCCAGAGCCGGGCCCGGAGCTTTGGCCTATCATGCCATCCGTCAAATGAGGAAGCAGATGTTGCAAGAGCAAGGACAGGAGGGCTTGGAGGTGAATCCCGTGGGAGCAGTGGGCTTGCAGTTCTACAGGCAGATCCTGCGGCACAAGATGACTCCGGTGATGGCCCGCGAAGCATTCAACATTGGACGCACTGCTGAACTGCCAGCCGGCTCATGCAGCAGACGTCCTGGTCCAGAGACTCAAGGCGCTGGAATGCATGGCGGGCGGCTCCTCGTGGCAGATGTCTCAACGCTTCGAGATCGTGCCCATGGACTTGGGAAGCTTGGCATCTCAGGCGGAGGCAACGGCCGTAGCGAGAGAGAGCAGAGAGGAGCAGAAGAGCCGCCAGCTCCAAAAGGGAGGTTGGGAAGCCAACTCCTGGAAAGGCGGCAAGGGCGACCAGACTTTGCAAAGCTAGAAAAGTTGAGCGTTCTGACCGGAGTCTTTGTAAATACGCCCCCGTGTTTAAAGACGTAGGGGAGTCAAGGGAAAGTTTTCACCGCAGCACTGGCTCAGCGTCCACTCCCTCCCTCCCGCTGAGGGTGTTGGGAGTTGGGGGAGGAAGGAGCTCCAAAGACAAGAAGAAAGCCAGAAAAGATGCGTGGGAAGCATTACATCTGAGATGAGTCTGAAAGGAACGTAGGAGAGGTGTCTCCGTTTTTCCATTTCACATTGTGAGGCCCCTTTCTTTCTCCGGCATGGCGGAGGGAAAGGGGGCAATGTGTGTGTGTCTTCGGGCTGGTTTTCCGTACGGCATGGCGACGGTCTACCAGGGAGACAAAGACAGTTTTGACATTGCATTTTATTCTTTTAGACTTGACAAACTGGACCTTGCAAAGCTAGAAAAGTTGAGCGTTCTGACCGGAGTTTTTATATATATATATATATTTACTTTGTATCCCTCACGGTGAGCACAAAAAACTAATCTACACGTTGTCGATGATTTTGTCTATCAGATATTGAACACAGCTCACTTGAACAAACACCAAGCAAACTTCAACAAATCCTCTCCTCGCAAAACAACTGGAGAGGGCATGTATGTACAAACAGGGCCCCAAACGAACGACAAAAAGGGCATTGACTGCATTGAACAAAACTTTGAACACACACATAACTTCACCCACAGCATGCAGAATCCCCCTTTCCAATTCTTTGTCATCCCTCTTTGTACTCGACTCCAGTTTGGGGAGTGTCCTGAGGGTATGGAGTCGCTGCCAGGACAGGACTTGAACCTAGCTAATGCTGGGGAACCCAGATGTGTGTGGTTTCAACACTTGGGGTCAATGATTTGAGCAGGCCAATATGTTTTTTGTGTTATTTTGTTTAATGAATGATTTGAATGACAAATTGAAACCTGACTTGTGTTCTTTTTTGTCGGTTTGGATCCATTGTTGGAAATCATAATAGCTCAATGTATTGTGCATCCGATCTTTGAGAAACTCGTGGAACATAGTAGCTAGAAGCTACTAGTAGCTCCTGGCATCGCTACTAGGAAGAAGCTACTAGGGGCTCCTGGCCTTGCTACTAGGAGCAAGGACGCTAATTTGGCCTAAACTCCAAGCCGGTCCAACGGACCAGGTCAAACCGGTCAAAGCTTCCGACTGTTGACCCTTCAGATTTCACTGATTGCACCTCGCGTTCGGCAGCTTTGCCGAATGCCGCTTGTGCCAAGGTAACAGAGCCGGGCATGCAAGATCCCAAGGCATGCGGTCCAACATGTTGCAAAAAGGGCGAGATTTTGTGGAATTGTTTGAATCCCCTACACCTGACTTTATTTCTGGACTCTGGGCATTCAGAAGAGTCATTTGCTCATATTTGCTCGACATGTGTCGCGTCATTGACAGGTTCCTAACTCTTTGCAACCCGCGTTGCCACCAGTGTGCGACTCTTTGGGTTCATCATCAGTAGATCAATTCAAAGATGAAACGATGGTTGTGGGAAATGTAGAAAGATGTTTTTGAACATCTTGAAAGAGCGGGGAAACGAGACCAAAGGCCTTTGCAGCTTATTTGTAGCCGTGTTTCCGTCAAACATGCCGCAGAAATATTGCATGAGACGTTTTGCTTTTGATGCCCGGCAGTGGCTTCATTTCCTCCCACATGGGATAACATCCGCAATGCCTGCACAGGATCCTGGCTTGAACAAAGCTATCTTTCGCATCTTGGCGGAGCAGGCATGAGCAGACTGCGAGTTCAGAGGGCCAGAAGCATGTCCCAGCACATGGCCCTTTGTTGTTCCTTGCACCCTGATGAGATAGCTATTCAGCATGATTCATATGGCTTCATATATGTAATATATATATAACTATATATATATATAATAGTCTAATAGTTATATTATATATATATGATGGCTTTTTTGCACGATCTCCATCCAAGGGAAACAATTCAAGAAGACGCAGATGCCTGTGGCCCGAGCTCAGGGACTGTATTTTCGTATGCGGTATGAAATCCAGTGGGGTCATTCGCCTGATTTCAGAGCCGAAGCTCTTTTGTGCAGCGATATGAAGCTCTTCTGAATAAACCTCAAGATGCAAAAAGGCAGTGTCCGGAATTTCTTCGGTTCATTCCTTCATATTTCTTCCGTGCCTGCCATTTTGCCAGTGTTTGGTTTTCGAGGTGCCGTTTCTTCCAGCGATCCTCATGCCGCAAGGGCGAGTACTGCGAGTGCCTTTGTCCCCAAGTTTTAGGATTGAAGGGCGATCGGACGGTTCCAAGAAATAAGCGGGTTTTTCTTGTGGTTTATATCGTCCTATGGGTCAGTAATGTGTTAGCCAGGTGCTATTAAGATAGTTTGAACTACTGTCCGAACTATTTTGTATGGGATGTGACAGGATGTGTGGGCATTCTGCATGGAATCGTTTGAACTGTTCGGCAGTGTTGACTAGTGCGGAACTCTCTATATATCTTTGTTTTTATCCGATGACGCTTTCCTTTTGAACATGGATTTCCTTCTCGAACGAGTGTATCGGTTCGAGGTTTGCCCATGGGCCAGAAGAGTTGGCGCAGCCACCTGACCTGCGAAGGACGGAGACGTCGGGACTCCATCAAATTCGTTGGGGCTGGATGTGCCTGGATGTGCCTGCATATTTTGGTCTTGTTCTTTGGCACATTCCCCAAAGTCGCCCCTTGGGAGTTTACGATGGCAGTCACCCATGGCACCTTGGAAAGATCTCGAAACTGCGATTGTGCAATCTTCAGCTCAAGGTCTTCAAGCTTAGATCCGGGCAACGGTTTGCCGCTTACCAGACCTTTCAGCTGTGTACCTACCTAGACATGACATGTCACAACACTTGCGGCGCAAGTGCTGTGGGCACACGTCGCTTTCCCCAAGCATGATTCACAATGCAAACCTTTGAACCTGTCGAGAGCCTTTCCTCAGGACATCTCTTTGCAAGGCTTTCATGGAGGGCTGTTGCCCAGAGTCTGCAGCGACATGCAGGTGTCAGAGACATTGCAGGGAGATTGGTGTTAGAGAATGAGAACAGCATGAAACGGAATCAGGAATCATGTGTTAAGGGCATATATGAGTGGATATATTTTGTTTGCATGAGATGCCTCTAAGCTTCAGAGAGCAATAGAGGTGTCAGACCGCGTCCAGTAGCAAGTGACATCACATTTGCACCGACACAAATTGAGCAGCGACGAACGCATCGTATGTAACACCTTAAAAGGAAGTTGAAGCGAGATGCCTTCGCGAGAGTCAACCACAATCACAAAAGCGGCGCGAAAGATTTGCCGCTAGTTATCTTGGCGGACTCACAAGAGCTGGTTTTCAGCCAAATGCTCTCTCCGCAACAAAGTGGTACTGGGCAAACGCACAAACACTGAAAGTTATATATTCGGATGGTGGAAGAAGGGCCATAAGAGCCCTTTCTTGACAGAAGGTTTTAATTGCTTGCTTATGGACACCTATCACATTTTCCATTGGTGTAACGTGTCATCCGTATTCATACGAAAGATATACCTTGCCGCAGCTGCATTGAACAAGCCTAGCTGCACAATATGCCTGTTTTTGGCGATATTTGCTCCACTGGAATTGTGTGTTGACCCATTCTGAATTCATCCCAGCGTTGAGTTCGTTGATTTCTTTGTACCTATATCTTGCATGAAAAGGTGAGATGTGACTTGATGGATATCGTTATAGAATGTGATAGATGTCGTGGAGGGCTCTTCCGATCCTTCTCATTCAGGTTTGCCCATGGAATCGCTATGTTCGGTGGCCTGTGCAATCTTGAGGGTGAGCTACATAATATCAGGAATGTAACGAAAAACAAAATCAATCTGTTGCTGTTGGGGGCACCGACCATGCTGGACTTGCACAGGTGGTAACTTTTTAAAGAACATCTTGCAAGCTGCACTCATTCAGGATTTGCCAACGAAGAGTCTTCCACTATGTAGATCGTGAATCAGAATTGATGTCGAGGATTCAGAACTACAACCCAACCGAGCGAGAGAGGCAAATGATTGCCCTTTTTCCAGTATGGAGTTGAGCTGAGGCTTCGCCGCACACCAGGCTTGGAGCACGGGAAAATTCACGTTGTACACATGATCATTTGCAAGAATGCATCGCTGCTGCTTGGTTAGTGCCCCCAATATACTCTAATGACTTGCAATGAAGCCTTCAGACTTAGTGGGGTGCAGCCAACACAAGGTGCAACTTGTCCCTTGTTTGCTTGGCCTGCCACACTGCCCAGCACTTTGTGCTTGAGGTTTTGACAAACGGATGGCAGCAAAAAATACAGAGGCAGAAGAGCTGGCCTCATTTCTCAAGTGCATGGCCAACTGTGCATGGCAAGCAATCTGATTGTCAGTGCCCATACTCATTTCAGTTGCTGCACAAGTTTTGCTGTGAGAACGAGGTGATGTCCGCAGCGCATGGCTTGGAAGCGACATCTTCTGAAGAGGCGCAGCAGGAGTCTCAGAGCGCGAGGTTCTCATCCATTCTCATCCAAATGAAGAAAAGGGAGACAAGAAAGAGATGGCAGCGAAGAAGAAGAGGAAGAAGAGGTCGCAATTCTGTCAATTAAGGTTTAGGGTTTAGGGTTTCAGAGATGGGAAGGGTCCAGTTTGCTGAGCCTATTCGAGCCTCAGTTCAGTCCTATTGCAACCCATGGTGAGTCTGAAAGTGTGGTGTTTTTTGAATCTGTTTGATGGGAAGTTATCGGGTAGTGTGCGATGTGCTGAGGTGTGTGACGTGTGTTGTGATGACGTAGAGTGTGATTCAAGCTATATATATAATAAAATGGCTCTATATGGTTTTCGTGATGTTGGAATCATTTTGACTTGTGCCAAGAAGAATCCAGAGCCAGGGTCAGGGTCTTCTGAATTGCAGCTGCCTGTGAAACGGCGGTCAGCTGTATTCGCGTGGATGTCTCCGTAGAGTTTGGTGGCCCCTCACTGCTTGGTGCACGTGCGAAGGCAAATCGCGTAGGCCCTACAATGACATGATTCTTCGCGATGGCAACATACGTAGGCAAATATCCCAATTAGAATGGATTTGCACGTGCATGCCCAAACAGTGCACAAAAGCATTTTGCGAAGGCTCCACACGATACCTATTTGGGCACGAAGGCACCCTTTGCACAAAAATGCATGTCGCAAAGGCTTGCCAAGATGTGCGAAGGGTTGTTTCCAGTGGATAGGCCTCTTAAGGCCCCTTAGGTTGCCAAAAAGAACACAATGCTCATGTGGGATATGGCGGACATGGTATGCTACAATTACATTGCAATTACAATAAATGTATATAATATAATATACATATTATATGTATATGTATTTACTATTTAGGTGCAATGGCATCGGCTTGGTTTTGACATACAAAGGCTTGTTTGGGCAGGTCCAGGCAGAATTCATCAACCATCAGACATGTTTGATATTCTTGCATATCTCCCGAATTTTGGGCGTTGCTCCATTTATCTACTGAGACAACTTCACAACATCCTCCGCCAGCAGCAGCGGGAGCAGGCAAGAGGGAGTTGGCAGAAGTAAGTGGGGAGATGCGCAAGGTTCATTGCAGTCTTGGATGCAATTTGCCCTGATCTTGCAGAAGACAAAATGCCAAAGATTAGACATCGCTTAAGTTTGAGTCCGAACCCTGGTCTAGTACATACAAGTATGATCAAGTATGAATCATGTGTATATATGTGTATAGAATCATATATAGATACTGTGTCTAGTCAGTTATATATGCGATTAACGTTACGTGTTTCCCCAAGCTGTGGCAAGAGGTCGCTACGTGTGCAGCGATTTTGGGGGCTTAGTGCCCGTGCATGCAGTTTGTCGTTTGGGTTCCGGTTTGTTGCGAATCAGGTTTCAACAAGCTATTGATGGAAGAAGCAGATATCTGAAACCGGCTAAACTAAATGATGAGGGCGTCCTGCGGTGATCGTTTTGCAGGAGGAGATGCGACAAGTGATCGAAGAGCAACGTCGCAAGCAGGGGCTCTCCAGCGATTCTGGGTGGGCACCGTATCGAAGAACAACGTTGTAGGTCGCTGGTTGAATTCACTTGCGTTAAATGGAAGATAGGGCACACCAGTGAGAACATGGTCATGCTAGAACTTCTTGAGACACCTGCCTTTGGGTATTATTACTGTTTATCATTCCAAGATTTCTTGGCTGCTTGAAGTTTGGTCCAGCTTCTTGCTGGAAGTTAGAACAAGATGATCGAATATGTTCAAGCAGAAGTGTCGTGTACATAACTTGTTTTGGGGTGGCTGGATGTTTCGCTTATATACATTCGCCATCATTGGCCTACAAACTGCTGTGTGTTTTACGGTACATTTTACTGTAAGGATTTTGTCCATGAGAAACATTCAGAACCTTCGCTGTGACCCTGTTGGTAAGAGAAGGACACAGACAACAATTTCTTTGACATTGATTGACATTGAACAAATTGGAGTTTTTACATGGCCAGTCAACTACTATAGGCGACTCCCCAAGATGATACCCGTGAATGATACCCCTGCACACTGTGCTGCTGATGTGAAAATGATTTGGGGACGATCAAATTTCATACTGTCTGGATAGGAAGTGTTCATCACGACTGTATATAGTACAATTTGTTGAGTGATGACCAATTAATAATTAAGTACATTACATTACATGCTTTAGGCATTATTCTTCAACAATTGTGCTTGGATGATTGGCACTTGGAAGAGCTAGACTTTGCCTATCAGTGCAACTACTTCCAAGAGAGATGGACATAAACTACTCCACCTGAGAGTGACGTTTGTTGAAAGCGTTCGCTTCTCCCAAGTCAACGACTCATAGTTGCATGGTGCAAGAACTGGTGAAACCAAGTGAGCCTGGCAAATATCCACAATATACAAGTCAATTTTGCGGGGTGTGCTGCCAGCAGTAGCTTGGAAACTGCCCAATAGCACAAGGGTACAGCTGGCATCAATAGGCCAAGCCATGACCAGAACTGACCGCCAAATATGTGATGTGGCAACACTGGCTAGTTGCCAACACCTGAAAATGTGTTTACTGTACTGTACTGTAAACGAGAAGAAAGAAGGTATACAAGGTTTTAAATGTGTTTCATGACGGCCCTTTAAAGGGGGCCTTACCTGACCCATTATCTTACAAATATGTAGATAATCGAGATGGTGTGGCACTGTGGGTCCAAGTCAAGGCCGCCTAAGCCAAGCATGGCCAAACCCCACGCTGAGGATCAACGAACTGAAGTTGCAGCAGGAGCGGCCCCTTGGCAGAGCAACGTTGCAGTAGTTGGCAAGTAGCAACAGCAGGAACCTGAGAATTGACCGTTTGGCCATTTGCATTCCATGTGTGTGTGTGGAGGTATTGGTGTACAAAGGAAGAAAAGGAACAACATAGAACAACAAAAGCCGCATAATTAATGCTCACAAGGCTTTGAACAAATTCTGCAAACCGCTCGCCGTACGCCTCCCGCATTGAACCATCAGCTCAGGTTGCAGCAAGCACAACTTGCTTCACTGCAGCCGTTTCAGCCGCAGTTTCAGCAGCCGAACTTCGAAGCACAGGCTCCTGAACAACCCAGTGGGAGCGGGCCTCAGTACAGCTGCGATCCAGGAAGACCCAGTTCCAGTGCAGTGGACATATGGACATCAGTGTTGCCTGTATGGTTGCCATGACACTGCTCTAAGACAACTCATCGCAATTGCAAGCTGACTTCCCCCCCATCGGAGCTTCAGCGAGGATCATCTTTGGTCAGCACACCGGGCTTCCACTTGGAGGCCGTAGCGCCAGAGGTTTCAATCGGATGAGTCACGACACATCCAAACGATCTCTTTGGTGATGTGAGTCGGTGTCGGATTGTGGGTTCTACAATTCTAACGGTAGTATGGTATACTAGTAACATCTAGTAACTAGTAGCATCTTGTTACTAGTAGTATGGCCAGGAGCCCCTAGTAGCGTCCTTGCTCCTAGTAGTACGGCCAGGAGCCCCTAGTAGCTTCTTGTTAAGTTACTATGTAGCCTTACCACTATACTTCAGATTAACCATTATCGACGCGGCCAATCTCTCAATCTCTCACAATGAGACAACTATGGGAAAGCCTTGCAAAGTCTGGAATCTGGAAGCCTTGAGCAGTTGAACAAGAAGCATATACTGTACATTGTTGTTGTTGCTGTTGGCGGAGACTAAAACAGGTGCCCAACATGACGATCACGTGTTGTAAGTTTTGGATTCGGGGGCGACAAGGTTGCGGATGTGGTGGAAGGTTTGAAAACACTTGCTCTGTGCCAATAATATAAGTCAAGTTGGTTCACTTATAGTAGGTTGAGGTTTGCCTTTTTGGTGTGTTGTCCAAACACAACCATGGGGCTCCAGTTTTTGTCTCTAGGAATGGGTGCAGGCAACGATACTGGTTGGGCCAGGAGTCGAGAAACAACCACGGATGGGGCACAAGTTCTTTTTGGCGAGAGAGCTAGAGAGATCGTCAGATAGCCACTAATCCTTACCATAACCACTACTATATGCTGCTATAGTAGTAGAAGCACTAGCAACATTACTACCACTACCTCACTACTAATTACGGCTGCCGCTGCTACTGCTACTACTGCTGCTACTTCTGCTACTGCTGCTACTACTACCTCCACCAGTTCACTAACTACCCAGGTAGATCCTCGCATGGCAATGTTTGCTGTCTCAACTCAGTGTGTTGCGATGATTGGAGTTTGTTTAGTTGGCGTGAGACGTTGCTGCATTCTGATGAGCTGTTGTGGTGTGCAGTTTAGCAACGTTCTTCGGTGACATTTTGTAAAGTGGTACTGCGATGCTTTTCTAGAATTCTATGATGCATTTGAGTTTGAGACGTCTCCTGTATACTCAGTGCTGCTACTCGCTTTCATGAGCTTGGCTTTGTCAATGCAGCTCTTGCATCTCCACAATACTCCAGTGGTAGGGCAAATTGCATTTCATCCCATAATTTGCCGCGAGCCAGACATATCCACTTTGGGACACTCTTTTGTCATCTAGAAGTGCCTATGTAATTGCTCCCGGTCACTTTCTAGTGTTTGATGCTTTCACGCTTTTATCTAGAAACTTGTCTATTGGACATGATGCTCTCTTATAGCTAGAGTTCTCGGCTTTTTTGCGTATTTTTGTCCAGAATCCCAACTGCTCCGTATGTGTTTCCCCACCTGCAAGGTGAGGATCTTTAGAATTTTTCAAAGGCGCCACTCATCCTCCTCAGCAAGTGCCATGAAGCTGGGCACATACGGACCCGCGCACTATAGGGAGCACCAGCTCAGTCTGAACACATGCCGGAATACATGGCAGAAAGAAGGTAGAATGCCAGATAGAATGCCGGAAGAGCCAGAAAGAATGCGAGAAGATATGCCAGATAGCTTGCTGGAAAGGATATCGGAATATATGCCAGCAGAAGATATGCCAGCTAGAGTACCTGTATAAATGCCAAATCATATGTCTATGTCCGGACATACTACGAAATCCTGCACCACCTCACCCTGGAAGGGTCGCATAGCAACCCCGGCCCCCCCTCAGTAAATGTTGGCGCGACCCCTCTGAGGAGGTGGTGCATGGTTTTGGACCTTCAACTTGTTATACCCACTTTTCTCACCGTGGTGGCCCCAATGTTAACGAGGGGGAAGGAGGGCAGCAAGAAACGAGACTGTCACAACAAGCTGGGTAGAGCAAAGTAATGAAACGAGACTGTAGTAATGAAACGAGACTGTACCCGACACAGGGTTGCGCCAAGCAGACAGCGGAGGGCCAACACAGTATGTTAAAAAAGCTTTTAGAGACAATGACACAGGTAGAACAAACTTGTGAAACCAGTGACACAGGGCTGCGCCACGCAGACAGCGACAACAATCATGACCTGGAGGGACCATGGCTTTGACTCCTGTGCAAAGCTATGCGGCTGGGGTCTACATGGCAACACAGTGCTCCACAGTGCCCGGACAGTGCTGCAACAGTGCTCCAGACAGTACCCGCGCACCAAAACCCTGTAAATACTGTGGGTCTGGCCACAGGAGTGGCGAATGAGTCAACAAAAAGCCTAGAACTCTAAATGTCTGTCGTTTTGCCCTGCTACTGCCCGAATCGCTGTTTTTCTCACCGTTTTTGACTTCCGAGCGCAGTTCTGAGCACTGTCGGAGCACTGTGGAGCACTGTACTTCCCCCGCAACATCCATCCCTTTCCACGTAACAGCAAAGCAAAGTAAACACCAACAAAGGATAGCAAACAACAAACGGAGCAGCGAACAAGTGGCATCAGCCAGCAAGTAGGCGCAAAAAACTATCACAACAAGCTATGTAGAGCAAAGTAATGAAACGAGACTGCAGTAATGAAACGAGACTGTGTGTCCGGAACAAGTAGCAGGTCTGATGGCAGAGCCCATGTCAGAATGTGGAACACATGTCAGTCGCAGCCGGACCATATCTCACAACACATGTCAGAGCACATTCCAGTAGTGTGATGCTAGATGATGTGTCAAAACACCAGAGTTGATGCCAGAACAAGTGTCAGAACGTTATGCCAATGGCATGTCAGGCAGCGTTTGTCAGGATAGTTTGTCAGTACATGTGTCATGTGCCCTGCCGTGGTCCAAACCGCCTCTCAGGGTGGGAATCACTTAAAGTAAGATAACTAGTTGCATCTCCACCTTTGACACTGTTCTCTCGAAATTTGTTGTTTTCATTGTTTCTCACGTTTGTGCAACACTGCCTTTGCGGCTTACATTCTCAGATTCCATTATCTCATAGAACTGCGCCACACACAACCCCGTCCTTCACGCATCGGCAACACCAGCCATGTGTTCTGAACCATCCGGCTTCATGAGGAAATCAGCTGAGCAAACACAAATGGCAACCAATCACATCCATTTGATTTTGCAATTAGCACACCTGTCAAGGGTTTCCGACAACTTTGCGTGCCACGCCAACCCGGATGGGACGACCTGTCAAACACCGGCTGTTCAGAACATACCCTTGCCCGGATCAAGAATTACAACACCGGATAACCCCACAAGTGAAGCTTGCCCAAGACCAAAGTGTGTGTAGTCATCTTTCCCCACCTGCCAGGTGAGGGTTGTTTTATATTATAGATTTTGTAAAAGTTGTTTCCGCCTCCTCTCTTTCCTCCTCTTCATTCTTTGCCTCCTCCTTCCAGCTCCGGAGCTCACCGGACCTGGACCACGAGTGCGAAATCGCAATGGGCACCACCAGACTGATGTCAGAAAACAATATATGGTTGTCGATCTAAAGGTCCCAATACTTAGCGTTGACTACGAACATGTCAAAACCTCATTTGGCGAATTTTTTCTCGAGTTCGCGAAAGGAAATTTCTTTTTTGGCAAAAGATATGGCTAAAGATGTTCTTTCTGCTGCTGTTGCCACTACAACAACAACTACTACTCCTCCTGCTACTACTGCTGCTGCTACTACTACTACTACCACCACTACCGCTACCACTACAACTACCACTACCACCACCACCAGTACCACTACCACTACCACTACTACTCCTGCTGCTGCAGCTGCTACTACTACTACTACTACTCCTGCTCCTGCTTTGGGGGGGCGGCTTTGCCACATAACTCTACCCCGCAAAAGGCGAAAATTTGGCGAAAGTTCAGCTCAAGATTGGCGAAAGTTCACCCTGCCACATCTGACCCCCAGCCCATTATGAGTAAGTCTGAGTGACCGGCTACTACAGTGATTCTTGCAACTTTGATTCTTGCTGACACCCAGGAGAAACAAAAGAGACGTACAGGGTGTCAACAGTTAAGTAGAAGACGCATGCTGACAAACAGTGAAGTTTTTACTTCGTATTTGCCAGTAAAGAAGCCATTGACATGAACAAAATTGATATCCATCATACAACATACGTGGCACACATAAATACAACATACTTCGGCGAAAGATAAAGCACAGGAAAGCGAAAATTTGGCTAAAGTCATTTTTTCTCCGGCTAAGAATGCCGGATCCAAGATAAAGGAATTTAGATCAACGCCCATATGCCAGTATAGCACATGGCATGGTGCATGGTGCATAGTGTTTGAACTAGTTCGTGTGACATGTTTCATGCCTTTTTTTTGAAATGCCATGGCTGGGGTTACTGTAATTACTCTTTTGAAAGCGATCCATGACACTTCACTTTCGACAGTTGTTTGAGTATATAAGGTCAGGTGAGTGGGTGAGTGATGAAATTGACTTGAGATGAGTGGAATGAAGTGAAGTGAAGTGAACGAAGTGAAGTGAGTGTGGTGAGTGGTGAGCAAGGTGAGTGGGTGAGTCAGTGAGCCGGTAATTGAATGAGTTGGTGAAGATTGACGCGCACGTCAGTGGCTATTTGTATCGGCATGGAGAACAGTTCCAACATTCCATGCGTGACCCGTCCATAGAAATAGAAAATGAGAGAGGGGGGAAACATGGGGAAACAATAGATCTGAAGAAAATGAGGTTGCACAAGTGTCACGGCCTCCTACTCTTGGTGTTTTAAAACCCAGCAACTGTCATTGCCGTGCAATCATGGTTCGGGTCAGTGTCATGTCAACTCTAACGAGCTGTGGATGGTTCTCGCTAGCCAGTATTGTTGTAATTGGTATTTGTACTTGTATGGTTGGTTATATATGGCTGTTTTTGTGGGGATCAAAAGGAACCTGGACGTTGACACGTGCACAACAGAGAGCGAATACTGCCACAACGTCTTACTTTTGTCATTGCTTTCAGAGTGGATGTCGACAGGTTGGCGGAGGATGATGACGTTACATTATATCATATCCATTATTTTGTCCTTGAAATCGGGGTTCCACGTAGAAGAGGTCTGCATATAGTTTAGTTTTGTTGTTGCATTCTGTTGCGTTTAAGTTTAGCACAGGTGCCATCCCTGTAGTGTTTGTTTAGTTTCTGTGGGAGCGCCTGCAACCATGCGTAGAGACAGAGACTTGTAAGCAGCCAGGATAAAAACAGCTCTTGGGGCCCCTGCGGTTAGGTTATATTAGCGAGAAGCCTGGAGGAGCTCAGGGCGTCCCCAAGACAGGCCAAGATCTCGACTTAGAGCGATAGAAAAAGTCCGTTGGTTCTGAAACTCCCGCTTGTTCATGTTCTTTGCTTGTTTCCTGTCAGCGGTGGTCTGGTTCAGAGGTCATGGCCGCCCTGGGTTTGTTCTTGGTTTCAGCAGGTGAGCACCACCTGTGCCTCACTATAGGAGTCCGCATGAGTCGGCAATAGTTACTCCTTGTCGCACCCTACTAAATCATGGTTGAATCCCAAAGACATCCCAAGCCCAATATTTGTATGATTGGTATTCGCACAAAGATCAGAAAGCTTCTGGCTCAACAGAAGCAAAACTCCCCCTTGGCTGCCCACAACTCTCGCTGAATAGGCCCGCTCAACGAACGCTCTCCTGAAGGACATCAAGCTTTTCGGCAAAACCAAGCAGGCGTGATCTGACCCGAACCAGACAGGTGCCATTGCCATTCAACCAACTTGGACGATGCCCCAAACCTTGATTGTGGCTTGTTGTTGGCACCTGATATTCCTTTTAACATCAGTTTATCCAGTTTATCTCTTGCATATATGTTTGGTGCACAGAAGGTCGTTTTTTGCTGAACTAAAATAGCTGCTGGGTTTGCGGATGCGTCATTGGAACAGGCAATGTGCAGCTTCCCTTTGAGGTGATCCCTCTTTGAGCAGGCACCTTTGAAGCATTCAAAGTTGGCAATGAATGTTAAAACTAGAAACGCTAGTAAGTATTTGCGGAGCAGCCAGCTCAAGTTGAGTAGAGGCTCAGAAGGTGTCAAGTCAAGACCCAATTAGGAGAGCAATCTTGGAATCATTTGTTTAAGCTGTTTCAGTGTATAGTAAAGTTTTGGAGTCAAGTTTGAATGAATGGGGCTGATCACCTGCCACTTAGGTCAGAGGTTCACAGAAGGTAGATGGATCTTGCCACCCCTAAGCGGGGCAGATTGGGAGATGTTTGAACATGGTGCCTGGTGCATTTGCAAGTCCAAAAGAAAGAATCTAAGCATCTGTGCACAAGAGTATGACCTAGGCGCAGCTTAGCGGGTTGCTTTTTAGATGACTGGCAAGCCATTTAAACATGAGACAGACACAGGTAGAAGACAACAAATATCGTGATATGTGCTGTAGTTGTTTTGTCCCAAGTATGAGGTGCTAATTCCCAAGTATGTAGTCTAGAGCGGGTAAAGAATGGGTGCTGTGGGCTTTGACCGCTATCACATCTTGGGCTCCATGGTCTCCCTGGAATCTCCCTGAAGGTATTGAAGGGTTGGCAAAGCTGGACAGCCACTTCGTGCCTTGTGCCAGCAGCAAGCGGCAACAAGAGACTGTGGTGTCCATTTTGCTTTGATGATCCCCCAGACTGCAATCCAGTCTCATCATAATCATCAACAATACCATCAACTTCTTAAGCTCCCCAAGCTCAAGTGTTGGACACGGTGAAAACGCTGGACTGCATTCTGTGGTGTTTCTGCATCACTCACAGTTAGTGATGGATGCGATAGTCCAGATCGATTAGATGCACCTCTTCTGAGCCCAATAGAGTGGTGGGAGTCTCACAGAGCAACGCGTTTCGAGTTTCAAGACCAGCAAGACATGCAATCCACGCGTTTAAACATGTCCATCCTGATTCAGAAGTTATTGTTCAATCCGATTACTCTTTCCAGAATCAACGAAGAAGCAGTTGTTCAACTATATAACTTCCTCGTAAACAGCGTCCTCGGCAATATTTACTTACTCGTTGATTCATGGGAGTGTATATAAGAAGGATCTGAAGACTGAAGAGGTCGATCCAGGCCGATGCTGCCGATGCTTTGAGGAGGTTTATCTATTGGCTCCACCGGTGGACCGCGCCTAGCCGGCGAGCAGTCAAGACACATGCTGGCACTAAGGGACCGTATAGATAGAATTTTATAGATAGAAGGAGTCCCGAGCACACCAAAAACACGTGATTATCCTAAAGTCAACAGGTCATGTATATATTGCCCAGAAAGCCGGTGGAGTCTAGTAGTGGGGGCCTTTGCATCGTCATAGGTCCTCGTACAGCTGCCCATCGGTCCACGCTCATCTCGCACTGACGTTTGAGAGCGGTGGGTTTCACCTTTGATTTTCAAGCAGAAGCTGCAGCAACCACTGAAGCATACCTTCAAACAATGCGGTCGGTGTTGGTTTTAAAAAGTCCTGAAGCTCTATAGGCATGCACAACCCCTTTTGTGTCAGGACGAAACTGAGAGATTGACAACGACTCTTGGGAGATCAGAACCTTCTTAGAGACGACTCCATGCGGTCATTGGCACCTTGTTTGCTGAGATGACCCATTGTTCAGCTCTTGAAAGAAGAATCTGCCCACCAGAGCTGAGCTCACGGCATTCCAGCTCTCAAGAATTAGCAAAGAACAAAGTGCTATTGAATAAAAGTCGTCAGTCAAGACCGGAAAATGCTGACGTGATGCAGCGTCTGATGATTTGTTGGGTTGTTCAATCCTCCGTCTGCAAACATATGCAGTCAGGGGGAATGATGTTGCTTGGCATCAGAACGGTCGTCGCTTGAGTGTTTGACGGCCCTGATTCACGGTTCCAAGGGAACAACCACTATGTTTTGCAATGTTTTGGAACTAGTCCGATCAGAGTTGACCACTCAGTCTATTCAATGCATTCCATAACATATTAAAAAAATGTATCTTCAATTTCGATTCTTTCGAAGGAAAGCTACCTTCCCATCGGACAACACTTCAGCATTGACTGCAAGGGCAGAAAGAGTCTAAAGCTTCAGGTTTTTGTCAATTTCACTGCACTTCACTTTGCCGAAACTGCTTCGTCAGCAGTCAATCTTTCTCGAGCAAAGTTCCGCAAAGGTACGTGTCACCACAATAATTGGAGATTGCAAGGCGATTTCATGCAGCAATCCAGATCGACTAGACTAGCAACTCATAAGTCATAAGAACTACCGTACTGCCTGTTTCTTCCTCTTCAGGATCTGGATTCGCGACCCACGGCGGGGTTTACTTGCCCTTGGGTGTTGGCTGACATGGAGTGGACGCCTGCCCATTCTTACAAGTAAGCTTTTCTGTTGGTCACCAGTGCTTTCCACCACTCGCACAGGGAACTGTTCAGAGGCTGCCACTGACCTTTGCTTCTGATTCGCATTCTGATTGTGCTTGTCCGGAACATTTCCCTGTCGATCATCCAAAAGAATGTGGTCTTGTGGTACGGGTTCACTGGGAAAACGGCCTGAGTTGACAGCTGCCTTTATTGATTATATATATGTCCAAAAAGCTGAGGTTTCCTTCAGTAGTTCCTACAGAAATGACAAGGATTTCATTTCTGATTACTGTAGATGTGGTTTGTGGATCGCAGGCTCCTATAGTGAGTTACACGTGTAGGCGGAGGTTCTTTTCCATGACTGACTCAGCCTGGCATTTTATCAGATCAAATATATGTATTTATAGTTAGATGAATAATGATGCACAGTAAGGATTTCGGATATTTCAAAACACTCAGAACTCCAAGTCCAAATAAGTTCATTGCTTACGACGGAAGCCGCAACTTCTAGGGCTGCCCGTGCTTTCTTGGGATTCCCCTTGATTCGACCTGATGCTCCAAGTCTTCATCCAATTCCGCCTGAGAATCGGGCGACGGAATGAATGCAACATTGCAAACGTTGGATGTGTTTGACTGTTGACATCCCTTGCTACGTGAGCTGTCAACCAGCCGATCGCCAGCGACTACTTGACTTGGTGAGTTGGCAAAGCGGCAGCAATGTGCTGCGAAAGACTGGGCCATCTCACCATGTAAGTCTCCTGACGCCGCTAGGACTAGAATCCAAGCGTCAGATTGCCATGGCTGCCATGACTTGGATGTATATACTTGGATGAGAAGGCAGATTTGTCCCAGAGACGTTCTGGCCAATGTCTTTTCACCTGGCCAGTGGTAGTATATAGTGGGATTGGTAGCAAACTGATCAGACGACGAGTTACTTAGCTATCCCGTCAGCTTCCACAAGTGGCTGGATCAACCGACCGCAAGCTCCACCGGGTTCTTTGGAATCCGGGGGCTGATGCATCTGCGATCCTTGAGAAAGATCTCAAGGCAAGACACCAGTGCTCGTGAGACAAAAGAGCCGACGACAATGGCATGAATGTCAATGAGTTTCCTTCCAGGTTTGCATTTTTGGGGGGGTCGATGATGATGAATGCCACTACTGGATCAACATCATCCATTGTGTTGACAGCATTGTGCCAGTATACGGTCGAGCTTTCATAGTATACTTGGCATATGTGGACTGACATGATAGCGGTAACCTCCGAATGAACTATTTGGCCAGCCGCTAGCCGCTGGCAAGGGCTTCATCAATGAGTTGGAAGACCAAAGAACTCCCAATGGAAACGCCTCCAACCTACTAGTGATGGCCTCCACCCTAGTAGCGATGGAGGCCTAGCGATGGCCTCCAACCTAGTTACTTTGAGTGTCTTATTCCCCACATTGACGTGTGGGGGTTTTGTTCTTAGTGCTGTCTCCTCTCCTCTCCTCTCCTCTCCTCTCCTCTCCTCTCCTCTCCTCTCCTCTCCTCTCCTCTCCTCTCCTCTCCTCTCCTCTCCTCTCCTCTCCTCTCCTCTCCTCTCCTCTCCTCTCCTCTCCTCTCCTCTCCTCTCCTCTCCTCTCCTCTCCTCTCCTCTCCTCTCCTCTCCTCTCCTCTCCTCTCCTCTCCTCTCCTCTCCTCTCCT